ATACTTAAAAAGATAAAGCAAAAAGTAAATGGGTGGAATGTTCTATCTGAGTGAGCCGGTGCTCTGGAAGGTGAGCTCAGATAGGAGAGCTGTTTCCTCCTGGGGCAGAATCCATGTAGGCCCCCTCAGCTGGAACACTCTCACCCCACCCAGAAGCAAGCAGGAAGGAACATTCTCCACCAGTACAGACACTGGCAGAGCTGCTCTATCAGTGCACAGCATTTAACACATACAACTAACTCATATTTACATCAATGATTCCCCAACTTTTATATTTCCTGCACTTAAACATTTTTTTAATTGGGGGGGGGATTTTTATCATGCTTTTCATTTTGCTACATAAGGTCATTTTAAAAACAAAACAAAAACCTCTCTACCATCTACTATAACATCATTTCACAAAGAATAATTGAACACTAGAAAAACTAGGAGAAGAAAGTTTAAGACTAAAATACAGTTAAGTTCAATAAGTGAAGTCTTATAAAAAAAAACTCAATATCCATTTTCTGTGTATTTCTCATTCCTATGGGCTGCAAAGTCCTCAGGAGTCATGTGTGAGCATGTGTGTGTGTGTATGTGTGTGTGCACATGTATGCTCAAGTATGTATGCATCTGTCTGGAAACAGAACCACAGCACTCCAAGGGCCCACCTAGCTTTGATTTTGCAAAACTTTTTTAATAATTAAAACAAAGAAAAACTATAAGAGGACGAAAGAGTTGGATGTACAGAAGACATCAGCTAAATTAAAGAAAACATACACAAAAAGGGAGGTAGAATAAGGCAAGGAAGTTTTACTGGTACTTTAAATATAAGCTTTCTGTATTGCTAATTACCTCTTCTCCCCACAAAAACCTCAAGAAAGTTAGAGACCTGCTCGATACTCAAACCACTGAATGTCACAAAAGTTCTACTGCAATGATGCAATGCCACCAACTCCACAGCACAGACCAAACTCTCCTGTACTTGACATTAGAAGATTTAAAAAAAGTATTCCCTTAACAATATCTAAATAAAAAATACCAATTTAATAAATATTAAAATAAGAATGAATAAATGATCTACCATATATCCAATAATTCACTCTCGAAATACATTAATACTCCTTACTTGGATAGCAAATATAATCTTATTTCTGGAATAGCTTACAGTTCATAAAAAATACTTTCACTTATCTAACCTAATACTACAAGAATTGTGTGAAATAGGTATTTTACAGATGAGAAGTGAGGTTAAAGTGACTTGCATAAGAAAGTACACAGAGAAAGCAAAAGCAAGTATTTCTAAAAGCCTCAATTCACCACCCACCCCACATCAGCCACTCAGAGATCATGTAGTGTATGCATGTGATATAAGCTCTAGGATGCCTCTAATTGTGACAAATCATGCAAAACACCCCAGCCTGGGTCTGTGGGGGGGTATTACAACTATGAGAACTTGAACTTTCACATTTCCTGACTTTGAAAGGCAAGGTGGTTAGGGAACTGAGGTAAAATTTTAATGTGTTAATGTTATCTTAACCAGGTTTCTGCATTTTAAGTTCCTGGAAGATCAGAGGGGGAGTTTGTGAGGATTAAAGCCAAGACAGAAAATTGACCTTTCTGGGCAGCTTACAACCACTGAATGCCAAGTGAAAGCAGTTAGTTTCAAAAGGTCACAAACCTCTTACTAAGCATAATTAGCAAGAAGAATTCCTGTTGGTATAGGGGTTTGTGGGGTAATATTTAGGATATAAAACTTTAAATTACATCTAAAGTTAAACAATTTAAAAAATATGTAGGTTCAAAACAGTAAGCGATACAGTTTTCTAGAATTTATTTTGTCATTAAATATAAGACTTTTCAGGCATCAGTAATTAAAAGTGGCTAGACTAAAGAACTACTAGTTATAATTGTCTGAGTTAGCCAGAGCATATTTTCCAAGTGATGGACATGATTTCTCTTGCTTTTGTTAACCAGAGTATTTATCTCCTATCTGCATTGGTTGAGGGTACAGAAAGTGAAGGTTCACTATCAGCTATATGTTCCTAATATTTGGTGACCACAGGCTACCTGAAGTGAACAGGCCACATAAAAAGTCAAGTATTCCATTTGCCAATGGTTAATAGTCTAATTATATCATGAAAGCATGCTTGCTGTTAAAACGTATGTTATGCTTCCAAAGAAACATGTGTAACACGGAAAGAGAAACTCCAGCTATTTCATAGGCTGTCTCTTAACATACACAGTAAACTCAAATTACAAACTTAACTCCACAATTTCCATGTAACTTCAGTAGAGCAAGAAATATTTATAAACTCATGGACATTGATGTGCCCAACGTCTTACTTATGCATAAGATTTGCAATTACTAATGGATTAAAAATAAAAGTTTTCCCAAAGAATCACATAAATGCCTATGAACATAACTGTTAACAGGCAAGTGCCAGCTTTTCTGCCTTTTGATGAGTTATGGCCTTAACTTTCTTTTCCAACTGAAACAGAGGTTGTACAGCTGTAGGACTTCCCTCAACATAGCAGCAATGGCACGTCCTCTTGAAGTTATTCTGTCATTAGCCCCAAACATGGATGCTATGGTAACTACCTATTGAAACCTGGTGTCCCACCTACACTTTCACCAAGATGTAAGGAAAGAGTTAAAAAGGCAAATCACACAGCTTAACAAGACCTCTGCACATATTTGGGACAGGAGAGAACAAATTCAAATCTTACAGGTTAGTCCTTTGGACCCAAGGTAACTGTGTTTGGGCTGGTTTTGCCAGAAGACCTGAACTAACCCATGAGACCCTGGAACTTGGAGAAGCTGCTGCTACATTTTCTATCACTCTGGTCTTTCCATGTAAGCATATCTTCCAAATCTCCCACTAAAGTGGGTCTCCTGAACACCAAAACTTGTTATTTCAATTATCTTCTTTTATAACTCTCAAGATATATGAATACACTTTTAAGAGAGTAAAAGTGTATTCTTATTCTCAAAAGTGCTTAGAGTTCATAGAGAAGACTTTCATACATGTGATCTGATCTCCAAAAATCCTCAAGGCAGGTATTTTTTACATGAGGGAACTGAAGTTCAGATGGGTTTAAATGACTTGCCCAAGGTAGATACAACTAGTTTTAAATTTAAGATATCTAACATCAAGGTCTACTGCTTACTTGTCTATATAGTGCAGGACTGCTCAATGCTCAATCTTCGTTTGGTAAGTCAGTTATTGTCCTGGACATCAAGCACAATGCTTGGCTCCTAGCAAAGCTGAAATGTCCTGAGGGCAATCAAGTACAGGTGGCCACCTTACCTCACAACAAATGCCCAGGATGTGTTATAATCTGATTCCTCCAAAGAGTCATATTGCCAATCAGGTATTGACAAGTTCAGCAGTATATTAGAATCTCAGTTTGAGATAAGAACAAAGCAACCATTTTAAAAATAGCCACCAAAACATGGGCAGAAGATTGCTGTGGTCTCCAGAGAAAGGCAGTGGCTCACTTCCTTCCGTATACACCATGCCCTTCCAACCACTTCTGTTTCTTGACACGACTAGTAACCAAGGAAGTTCTCTGGTGCTTCTTCTCCTCCTAGACCCAAGCTACTACTGTTTTCCTAGTGATCCTAGTAAAATCTTTCCTCCGTCATCCTCAGCCTTAAAGACTGACTTTTTCTGTGAAATATGGAGAGTTAGTGTAAAAAAAAAAAAAAAAGGCCTTATGCAGAACATATTTGTCCCTGCTTCAAATCTACCCTTGCCCTTTTCTCATCTAATCATATGCCGCCTATCCCCTGTCCTATACCACCCCCCACCCTTCCCTACATCAATCCATCTGACTCTAGCTCCATTTTTTTTTCAAACAGGTAGATCTCACAAAATTATTGCGTAACCTGGGATTTCACTGCTCTCTAGCAATCAAAAATCAAGATTTGCGAATGTTCCAGTATTTGATAGCTTTCAGAGAAGATGAACAATTGGGATACTGAACATAAGATTATATGGTCTGTAATTCCAATATGCAGGATTTGTAGGCAATAGAGCTTAAGAATCACAAAGGATGAATCCCAACAAGCCTGTGGGCTCCCAAATTCACAAACATCACCATAGCTTGTAACTTTCCAGATAAGATGCAGTAACCTGTAATTCTAGCATGGTTGCGTTTGACCTGCAATGTAAGCACAAGGCCAGCCTTGGAAGCAGGGGCTGGTATCTACTGGAGGCAATGAGTGGTTAAGTACTTTATTTCTGCCCCAGTGTCTGAGCCTGCAAGGTTCAAATCCATGTTTCAGTAAAATTTTACTCCATATCATGGTCTTCTTTAAGTTTATTTATTTATTTTGAGAGTGAGAAAGAGAGTGAGAAAGAGAGAGAGAAAGAGAGAGAGAAAGAGAGAGAGAGAGAGAGAGGGCGGGAGAGAGGGAGGGAGGGAGGGAGGGAGACGGGGCATAGAGAGAGAGAGGGTGCATGAGAATCCCAAGCAGGCTCTGCTTGGGACTCAATCTCACAAACCATGAGACAATGACCTGAGCCAAAACCAAGAGTCAGATGCTTAACTGACTGAGCCACCCAGGTGCCCCTCTTTTTTACTCTTTTTAATTTGACTCCTAGAAAATTTAACATTACCTGCACAGCTTACATTTGTGGTCCACATTCTATTTCTATTGGACAGTGCTGCTTTTAGACAAAACCCAATAGCTTCCTTAAGGGTTTACTTCTAGAGAAGAGATGAACATGCTCAAGGTTTGGTTTAAGGCATCCTTTTTAAAAATTAGGCTCTTATAGACATCCCATCAGTGTTGTGTAGTTGAAGCACTGGCAAACAAGAAGCGTGCCTCCAGCTGCAGCTCTGCCTAACTTGGCAGCACAGACCTCCTATGGGCCTTGTTACCTCCCCTGCAGGGCAGCAGCTGCGCAAGGCATGAAGCATCCCATTGGCTCCAACAATTTCACAGTCCTTTACTTTACTGTCCTTTATTTGTTTTTAATATCTCCAAAAAATATAGGAAAAAACCAACTTACAGGTTTTGAGATGGCGAATCCGCTGCTGGAATGCACAGGTATTTAACTCCCTGTAGAATGATATAAAAAACTTAAGTAAAAAGACGATACTTAGTGGAGAAAAATATTTAAAGGAACTATTTACTCAGGTCAAAAAATAAAAAGTAAAAAGGAGAAGTTTTTCACTCATCTTTTGTTGCCAAGGAACCAGGGAAAAACTCTTTAATTAAGGTTCCTGGTTATTTTCCGTGACCATACATACAAATATTTATGCTCTAGTTTGCAAACAGCTTGTAGGTTTAGACAGGGTTTATCAAAAAAGTGAAATAATTGAGGGCTTCCCAGTAAGTGTCAACAAGTTTCAAAACTATGATTTCAAATGCTTGTTTACATATTTAGCATTTTTAAAATCTATTTCATTTAAGACCTTGAGTGGCCAAAAAAGAAGCACTGTTAGTAAAAACTTTAACATGCTAAGTAAAAATTGTAATGTTATGTTACAGAGTTTTCTATATCATATTTTAGTAACCAGAGAGTTACAATTTCACTGATGCATTAGTAGGAACTTTACACATGCAAAATATTTTGATATATTTTGCTTGCTTTTCAAAAGAGTAAAAGTTTATGTACCAAACTAATACATTTTTAATTTTTTTTTCAACGTTTATTTATTTTTGGGACAGAGAGAGACAGAGCATGAATGGGGGAGGGGCAGAGAGAGAGGGAGACACAGAATCGGAAACAGGCTCCAGGCTCTGAGCCATCAGCCCAGAGCCCGACGGGGCTCGAACTCACGAACCGCGAGATCGTGACCTGGCTGAAGTCGGACGCTTAACCGACTGCGCCACCCAGGCGCCCCATACATTTTTTAAAAAGAATGGCCCCTGGGGTGCTTGGGTGGCTCAGTTGTAAATGTTCAACTTTAGCTCAGGTCATGATCTTGCAGTCTGTGAGTTTGAGCCCCACGTTGGGCTCTGTGCTGACAGCTCAGAGTCTGGAGACTGCTTTGGATTCTGTGTCCCCACCTCTCTCTGCCCCTCCCCCACTCGTGCTCTATCTGGCTCTGTCTCTCAAAAATGAATAAATGTTAAAAAAATTTAAAAAAAAAGAAAAGAATGGCCCAATTTGAAAAAAACAAAAAACAAAAACTTCACATAGGTCTCCATAAAAATCTATTAAAAATGTCTGTGTGACCCAAAAAATAATCCAGTGAAGAAATGGGCAGAAAACATGAATAGACACTTCTCTAAAGAAGATATCCAGATGGCCAACAGGCACATGAAAAGATGCTCAACATTGCTCCTCATCAGGGAAATACAAAATCAAAACCACACTCAGATATCACTTCATGCCATTCAGAGTGGCCAAAATGAACAAATCAGGAGACTATAGATGCTGGAGAGGATGTGGAGAAACAGAACCCTCTTGCACTGTTGGTGGGAATGCAAACTGGTGCAGCCACTCTGGAAAACAGTGTGGAGGTTCCTCAAAAAATTAAAAGTGGACCTACCCTATGACCCAGCAGTAGCACTGCTAGTAATTTACCCAAGGGATACAGGAATACTGATGCATAGGGGCACTTGTACCCCAATGTTTATAGCAGCACTCTCAACAATAGCCAAATTATGGAAAAAGCCTAAATGTCCATCAACTGATGAATGGATAAAGAAATTGTGGTTTATATACACAATGGAGTACTACATGGCAATGAGAAAGAATGAAATATGGCCCTTTGTAGCAACGTGGATGGAACTAGAGAGTGTGATGCTAAGTGAAATAAGCCATACAGAGAAAGACAGATACCATATGTTTTCACTCTTATGTGGATCCTGAGAAACTTAACAGAAACCCATGGGGGAAGGGAAGGAAAAAAAAAAAAAAAAAGAGGTTAGAGTTGGGGAGAGAGCCAAAGCATAAGAGACTCCTAAAAACTGAGAACAATCTGAGGGTTGATGGGTGGTGGGAGGGAGGGGAGGGTAGGTGATGGGCATTGAAGAGGGCATCTTTTGGGATGAGCACTGGGTGTTGTATGGAAACTAATTTGACAATAAATTTCATATATTAAAAAAAATAAAAAATAATGAGGAAGAGGGAAAGTCTGTCTTTAGTGTGAAATAAAGATCTGAAATGGATTATATGAGTAAAAAAAATGTCTGTGTAAATTCATGCTACAAAAACTCAAGCTAAATTTGTTTTATTAAAAACCTAGTTGTTTCTTCTTCAGGGGGATTTATAGTTCCAAAGGTCTTCAATGTCAAGTAAAAGTACAAAATCTAGAAATCTCAGCAACTTCTTCAAAAGAATATGGCTCTGTGAGGACTTAAATGAATGATTTGTAAACCCTTCCTCCTTTGATAGCCTAATCTGATGGGATCTTGCCATGTCAAGGATAATAAATAGGAGAAGAAACACATCAAACACTAGAAAAATAACCAACCTAAGAGAGTAAATGAAGGAGAAATATGTAGAATCATGATATAGACTACCAAAAGTCCCTCAGCAAATAAAGCCATAAAGGAACTTGTCTTCTAGAGTTGCATTTTTTTTTGCAGTTGATCATAAAATTTTACTGTTAATTCATATTATGAGGCATTTCTGTGTTGTATTTGCTAATGTAGTCTTATAAGGAACATCTAAATTTGCAGCCGCCCCAAACCCTTCCAGACTTCCACATTTCAATACTTCCCAACACTGTGAATCCCACTATTCCAATACAGAATCCACATAAATTATGTTTCTCAATCTCCTTTGCTATTAGGGTGTAGACTCTGGATTTAGTTGCATCACCTGACACACCTACTTGAAGTGGATTTGGAAACAGGACATGGGAAGAATTAGATGGGTAAAGAGCACCTGCTTGGCAGGTGCAGGTGGCAGCAGAGGCAGGTGGTACTGGGGGTGGGTGGGGAGACGTGGCAGCAGATCTTACTGGGCCAGTTGTGTGATGTGGTCTGAGTGTTGTTCCTTTAACTTCAGCTGAAAGCCTGTTTCTCCAGCTCTTCTGAGGAGACCATAAGCTCTCAACAACTTCTTAATAAACCCCTTCCTGCTTAAACTGGTTCAGAGTAGAATCAGCTGTCTGTAACTAAGACCTGAGCCCTAAAATTCCCCTCCCTGTCTCCCACTATTATAAGAAGTCAGAAAAACCTTTTTTTCCTGTTTAATTCATATACACATTCATGTTTTTCCATCTTTGAGTCAATCATTACATCTTCCAACAAAGACTCTTAAATAAGATGAGTTTTACCACTGTTAATACATATGAGAACACTTCAGCATGAGACCAAACACACTCAAACATGTCAAGGGTAAAGTTTAAGGATCAGCGCTAGAAGATAGTGAAGCAGCAGTTTCTCCCTCATTTAACTTTTGCTTTGTTTGTTATCCCTAATTGCCTCCTTTTGTCTCTATCCTCATTTTTCCCTGGACTCTGGGCACTGTGCTCTGCTGGAAATATTAAGGCAGTTGTTTGAAGTTCTAAAGCACCTCCAAACCCAAAGAGGTATTAAAGAAGTGATTTAAAAGGCAAAAATGGAAAAGGAAATGATACTGTAAAAATAAGTGATTTCACTCCTTCCCTCCATCAAGGTCAAACAAGCTTATTAGTATAGATACACATGCTGGTCATTTCATACACCCGTCATTGAAATGACTCATTTACTTTTTTCTTTTACTCTTAAGTGAGAGTTAGCCATGGATCAGGCCCAGAAGCTTATGAAATTCTTTCCTCCCACACACTTCCTCCAACCTCTTTCAGACCAATACTTCCAGAGGGATGTGAAGGATTTTCAGGTTTCCATGCTCCCTTCCACTGTGATTGTCATAGCCTGAGTACCTTCAATCAATCAAGGATGCTGAGGTGGATTCCTTCTAACATAAGATATAAAAATGCCTGTCACACATGCTGGCAGCCACTTAATTCTAACAGAATCTAAAATCAGCCCAGCCCATATGATGGGAGGAAAGAAAAAAAAAAATAAAGAGAATGGACAGAAGAGGAGGTTAAATAGGACTTAGCTTATTAAAAGCATTTACTATAAATGCCAACATCAGTGTGACTGGAAAGTACTTCACTTCCTTTAGGTGTTCCGTGAGTGGGGTCACATTCCCCTTTTTGGTGCCTAATGCAAAAAAGAAAAGGATACTGGCCCTATAAAGCAGGAGAAAACTGCACGAAGATGGCAAAGGATATCCTTCCCTCCATGCCCACAGATGATGAGGAGGTGACTTTCAGCCATGCTAGGCCCCTCACCCTCACTAACTGGGATGGGCATGTGGCAGCTACAGCTTCCCATCTGTGAAGCTCTAAGGAGGAACAAAGTAGCTCTCAGCCACAAGTTTGGGGATCCCCTACTCTTAAGGAAGGACAGAAAAAATATAAAACACAAGATCATATTCTCTCAAAAACAGAACAATAACCTACCTTGGCACATAGTAAACACTCACTAAATATCTGTTGAACAAGGTGAAAATCAATTAACATGAAGATCATACTATAATAATACTACAAGTGAGAAAAATATTGTAAAGTGACCGTGCCTTAACCTGGTGACCACTAAAACAAGGGAGCTGAACTTTTAGCTATGCCATGGAAGGGCATGCTCCCTGCACAAGCTCCAGACATCAGTCTCCTGCCTGTCCACACAGTGAACAAACTATGCAAATACTATAAAGAAAGGAGTCAAAACTGTCAAAAAGGTTCAGCTGCTCACCACCCAAGAACATCTATTTATCTTGGCTTAGTCATTAACAAAGCACGAAAAGTGTCTCTCTTAGAGGCCACAGACTGCAGAACATGAAGTACCTGAAAAAAGCCTTCAGATGCCTGCACATGTGTACAATTCATGGCAGTTAATTACTAATTCAGAAAGCAGCAAGAGTGCTGACACCATTAAGGAACTCAGTGCTACAAGAAGGCTGGATAGACTTAAAATTATCCTAGTATTAATAGAACCCCCACGAAAGACCATTCTCTAATGTTGAGGTCAGACAGAGAAAAGGGGCATGATGTGTTTAGATAAATTATGGAAAGCATAGCAAACAAAACAAAGTAATAAAAATCTTATTCTAG